TTCTTTGAGTTTGTTTATAAAATTATTGTAAACTTATATAAAATATATTTAGTTGGAATAGGCTAAATTAAATTGCGCTTGTTATAATAAAGTTAGGTAAGTTTCCTATGGGTCTTTTGGTACAAAATCAATTTTTATATTAAATGAAAAAATATATCTTTAAACGTATAAGAGAAAATTTCAGAAAAGACTTAATTTTAAATAAGTTCTTGCTAACTGACCGGTTTTACCTATTCGCCACGACATATATAATAATAATAATAATAATAATAATAATAATAATAATAATAATAATAATAATAATAATAATATCATAGGTAGGACTTATAGAACTTTACTGGGGATCCTCATTCTTAGAGAAGACAAACGTATGATGTATTAATTGTTAGAAGCGAGCTAGCTTTGTTTCCCTGTTATATTCCATCACACAGGATGGGTTTCACACGTCAGCTGGAGTACACGTGGGAGGGAAGGTGGAGCGCAGGGAGTGGCAGGCAGGGAAAAAGGATAAGAACACAGTCACCGCACCCACAACCTGGTGGCATACAGAGGATGCTTGCTGCTGCTGGGTCGTGGAAGCTGGATGCTGCTACTCTGTCACAACCATCTCAGGTGTATTTTTACCTGTGTCCCAAAATTACCACCACCACCCCTACACCTACTTCATGGCACTAACAACACAATCTATCATTTCCAGTACATGATACACATCACAGGTGTTATAGTATAACGAGCTACAACACCACACTGTCAAAAATAAGTGTGACTCAAACATGGGTGACAGCAAGGGCACAAAAGTATAGCAGCAGCACATGAGGGACTCCTGCTGTGCGGCCGCCACCACCATACAAGCAGACAGGCACAGAAAGAGTGGCATTGGCTGCTGGTTTTATGTACCAGGCAGACACAAGAATGGAGGGCCCATGGACCGACACGAATACGGGAACTGATTTCTGCGGGATAGTGTTGGCAACATAAATTAAGGCGGCCTCCGTACACTTTAGTCTATACAGTTCACTCACAAATGATTATTTGTCCTTATTCCACTTAATAAGATGTCCTTGATCATTCCTCTGTTTATATATAGGTTGTTGTTGTTATGGCGTATTTATCTTCGCAGGGTATGACAAGAGTTGTTTTTATGTGCTTGCACAGTTTTTTATGGGTGTCAAGGATGTCAATTTGTCAGTTTTAATTTGTTGAATACACTGGCTACTCATGTTACTGACTGGCAGCACGATATATCTATTACATATGTAGGAAATATAAGGGTGTAGGACTTGGGACGGAAGGAACAAAATTTACCAAGGTATCTTACGAAAGCGTCCAGAAAACACTAAAAGAGACGAGGAAACAACTTCCCTTAGCATCTGCCATACAAATTGTCGGCGTGGAAAGATAAAATAGCTGAGCTAAGGTTAATTGCATCTGCGGGAAATAAGTAATTGTATTAACTGAGACCTGGTTCAATCAAAAATAGAGACATGCTTGGTGAATGCCACATACAGAGGTATAGAGTACTGCACGTTGATAGTCAACAGGACAGGAGGCAGAGTTCCTATGTATGTTAGAGATAATTTAATACTGAGGCAGGAGGGGCAGGGAGAGACTCTACTGTACATGGCTGCAGTTTCTTCATGTGAGAGACTTATTTTACGTGTCACCGACAGGCCTCCAAACTTAGATTTGTGACTAATGTAAACTTCTATGGGAAGAAATTGCTAAGGCGTTTACGTACGAAAATGTTATTTTAATAGGAGATTTTTAACTGTAGCCAAACTGATTGGAACAATCTAGATTCCAGCGACAATTTAGAAGTAATCCACGATTTTTTTTTTTACATCAATTTGTGACAGAGCCAATTAGAGGAAATAATCTGCTGGACTTGGCTCTGGCAAACAAGTATTCTCTGATAAATAATCTTGAGGTTAACGAAGAGCCTGTAGTAAGTTATCACACATCACTTAGTTTCAACATTTCATTGAGCCTAATTAACGATAGTAAAGGTAAGGCAAATTCTCAAAGACCAATGTGAGTTGACGTTTAGCAACCCACTAAACGAAAGCAAAGTTGAGAGTGAAATGTTGTTTTTCATTTCATCTGAGGTTCTGCAGACAAATTTATTGACATTAGAACTACTGTAGTCTCATAGAATTATAAATGGAAACAGAAAACATGCCCACTCATTCATCACCTGGACCGGCTTCGTGGCAGCCCTCATTGATAAAAAAGTGCAAAGTACAGCTAACACGAACACTCAGCATTCTTTAGAAAAAGATCTTAGATCTAAGTAAAATACCACAAGGAAAGCAGTAGAGTACTAACGAAAAATTAAAGACTAGCTCTACATCCCACATCAATCTCTTTGCAAGAGTGATGAGACGCCAAACTACAATTATTTTAGAACACCACAATCTGCACTACACCAGAATAGTTTTAGAGCAAGGAGATTATGCCTGTCACACCTAAGACACAATTATGGAGGCTTTGGAAGACAACCAAAACCCACATGTGGTATACACAGATTTTGCAAAGGCATGTGATACATGAGATCATGTCTGATTGCACATAAAACAAGGATTACAAGAATAATGAGGGAAAACAAGGAAACATTTAACTTTCAGACATAAAACACAGAACAAAGGCAAAAATCTCACTAACCCAAAGCACTGTCCTGTGCCTCTACTGTTTCTTATTCTTATACTGTAGTACACAGATTAAAACATTCGCCACACTCTTGTGTCATCATTTGCGGATGATACCAAAATAAGCATGATAATCACTTCGGTAGAAGACAAAAAAATTGCAGGAAAATATAAGCAGGGTTTTCCGGTGGGCAGTGGAGAGAACATGACGTTCACTGACGATAAACTCAGCTAATTAAACATGAAAAGAATGAAGAACTCAAAAGGGACACTATACAAAATCCAAGAGGATAATCAAATAGAACGAAAGGAACACGTGAAATATCTGGGTGTAATTATGTCAGTTGAAATCTCTTTTAAATAAAATTTATGGAATCAATAATTGCCGAGGCAATTCGTAGCCGTCTTGAAAGGCATAAATTGATTAATGAATCTCAACACGGTTTTACAAAGGGACGTTCCTGCCTCACGAATTTACTAACTTTTTTCACTAAGGTGTTTGAGGAGGTAGATCATGGGAATGAATATGATATTGTATATATGAATTTCAGTAAGGCTTTTGATAGAGTTCCACATCAGAGACTAAAGACAAGAGCTTATGTAGGCTGTACCAAGGCAAATATTCCAAGTGCGAGGTCATACAGATAGTAGAAGGTAGAAAGACCGTTAGGAATAAAATCATACTAAGGTCGATTAAAAAAAAAACTGAAAGTTAATGTCATATCGATCATATTTTAGCAGCGTACGAGAAGTTCGTGAACTTAATGACAGCCTTCATGGAACCTTAAAGAATCCTCTAGGATTTTACTTCTGATATGTCAGCAGATGTTGGTTAGCCAGACTGTGGTGGCTACAATAGTCAGACTGCAGCTTGCATCAGTAGCCTGACTGAACAAGCCTAGTCCAAAACCGGGTTGCAGGAATGATGATCCCAGGAACCATCAACAGGTAGGACCTTGACAGGTCGGAGAGGTATGTAACTACTATAGCCCCGAAATTGACGAAAAAGCACTATAGGAAGAAATTAAAGGTACTGAACCTGATACATCTGATACTCAGTGGACTGGGACTTAAAGGATCGGTACGCGCTGAAATACCGTTAGGTAACGCATTTTTTTTATTGTCAGGGTGGCAGGGAAGTGGAATGAGTTACATGAGGAAGTGGTGGACTTGGCGGAGGTAAACTATTCAGTTTCAAAGTTATTACGATAAGGTTTAGGAGAACACTATACAGCACAGGATAAATTTATAAATTATATACATTCAAATGTATAATAGTACATGCACATCACACATGCTTCACAGAATATATGTGCTATTGTATCATTTCCAGTGAATTAGCAATAATTATACGGTTTAAAACAAAACGAAACTTGCAGACAGTATTAAATGTAGGTGTTAAACAACAGAAAACATAATTTGAAAAAAAAAAAAAAAAAAAAAAAAAAAAGGTTAAAGATGGCTAACTCCAAACGACAAGGATGAACTCTGTAGTAGTATTAGTAATGGTAGTTCAGTGTGTTGCATTACACGTGTATGTGCTGGTCCAGGGCGGGGGGCCTAAGAAAACATATAGTACACGGTGTAGGTGGGCAGAGTAGCATTAAGCAGTGGACAACTCGGGTTGAGCTGTTACCGGTCGGTGGCTGTGTTGGTGGAGGAAGAGTGGTGATAGCGGCGGCGATGGAGTGGTAGTGGTAGGGGCGGCAATGATGATGATGATTGTGGTTGTGGAGGGAGGGTTGGTGAATGCAGCGGAGGTTGCGTCAGGAGTGGCCACAAGGTAAACACAGCGCGGCCTTCCAAGGAAACTTGCGCCGTTAATGCACACGTCACGACAATGATTGTTTCCTACCCAGCAAATGTTGGCGTTTCCTTCTCATATTCCTTGCTCTAGACTCGTCCCTTCTAACTTTACCTTTCTGCTTTATTTAGTCACTTCTGTCTCTTCTTTGCGGTTGATTCCACCCTCTCTTTCACTACCTGCCTGCAGCTTTCTGCCAGCAAGTCTCAAACTTGCTCATCTCACTGTTGTACCTCATTATGCTGCTGCTGCTTCTGGTTGCATTCAGAGTGTCTCCTACAATATTTGCAGAGAGTTCTGATACGGCTCCATACTCTTCCCGGAACTGTTACAAATTATTCTGCCCCCCTCAGCCGTTGCTACTGCTGTTGATTATGTCACTGTTGCTGCTGCTACAAGTTATTCCACAACTTACTACTGACACACGAGGCTACTACCGCTACCACCGCCGCCACTACCGGTACCGACTGCTGTGTCAAGCGTCGTAACTGGGGATTGGGGTGTGGTTGGGGTGGGGGTAGGGGGAGGAGTAAAGCAATCCCGTTACGCACTGGTGTACGGTCGTCGAGCTGGCGGTGACGGAGTTGCTGCTGCCGCTGGCGGACATTTACGACAGCGCTTCCTCGGGCAAAGTATGGAGAGACGAGCCACGCACACATCGCTACACCCCGATGACAGGCCAACTGGGTGTAGAAAATACAATATAAGGGCTATCGAAAAAAGAGTCAGCAAATTATACAGCTGGCAGAGCATGAGACACACCCAGTGAAACTTTAGTTCTTTAGCAAAAATTGGTCACATCAGCAATATCTGCTACCCTATTATATATGACAGCAAGTGATAGTAACTGTCTGATAGTAACTATATGATAGTAACTATAATAGCATATGATAGAAACTATATGATAGTGTGATAGTAACTGTATGACAGGTGAAGGACGAGAGAATGGTAAGGTGAACTGGGGGTGGTGGGACGGTACACTCACAGGTCACCGCCACAACACAACACGTCATACCCACACAATACAACACATCATACATACCCACACACCTCAGCACGTCATACCCACAAACCAACGGCTCAGCATCTAACGCTCTAGTTATCCAACCCATCAATTTCCTTGCAGCTGTGATAGCAACATTGTTTGGTCGTTGAATGTGAGATCTGTCATTACTACCAATTATCATACATTCAACGTTGGCTCCATTTAATGACTTGAGTTTGTTCAGTGAACCTCGTGTTGTCGAAGGCCCATTGGAAGACTTAAGTTATATCTGCTTGAAGATTCGCTGTGCTATGATTTATGTCCTTATTTACGTGGGATATGAAAATAATGAACAAGTGGAGGTGAGTACTGTGTCTTGGGAAACAGCAAAATTTCCGCTGTGGCAGCCTCCCACTTCTCTCTGTTTAATATTACTAATTATTCACTAATTTGTTCAGCATCAATTTGCGCACTTTTCCAGTTATTCATTTTGTGTGCGATCACACCACGGTCACACTTTTAGAATGATTTTGCAAAATCGGTGTACACATCAGTATTTACTTTGTGTCCCAGTGCATCCAAGATTGTTGATGATTAAGACACATGTGAAACAGTTAAGTATCTTTATTGTTGAAACGTTTCGCCTACACAGTAGACTTCTTTAGTCAAATACAGAGGCAGCAGGTGAAATGAAAATGATGTAATCAGTACATCAATATACCTTTCATGAGTTTCGAGAATCTTACTACTTTCGGAGCCCGGCCATGGGCCAGGCTCGTCTGGTACTTGCCTGGTCAACCAGGCTGTTGCTGCTGGAGACCCGCTGCCCCACATATCCATCACAGCCTGATTGATCTGGCACCTGATAAAGATGCTTGTCCAGTTTTCTCTTGAAGACTTCTACACTTGTTCCAGCCGTGTTTCTGATATCTTCTGGTAAAACTGAATAGTCTGGAGTCACGGATGTTAATACAATGTTCCCTTATCGTGCTCACCGCACCCCTGCTCCTCACTGGGCTTACATTGCACTTCCTCCCATCTCTCTCACCCCAGTAAGTTGTTATGGTAGTCTGCAGATTTAGAAACAGGCCCTAGAGTACTTTCCAGGTATATATTATCATATATCTCTCTCTCCTCCGCTCCAGTGAGTACATGTTCAAGACCTTAAGGCGTTCCCAGTAATTTAAATGCTTTGAACATTAAAATGGTATAAAATACCGACAGGTTGTTAGGTATCTTTATTTTGAAACGTTTCGCCTACACAGTAGGCTTCTTCAGTCGAGTACAGAAAAGTTGATAGAAGCAGAAGAGACTTGAAGACGATGTAATCAGTCCATCACCCTTAAAGTTTTGAGGTGGTCAGTCCCTCAGTCTGGAGAAGAGCATTATTCCATAGTATGAAACAATATGGAGATGAAGTGACAGGATGGAGTCTTATATAGCGCCAAGAGGTGAGACGTAGGTCACTAGAAGAGGTAAGAACTCAGATGTTGGGAGGTCAGGTCCCTCTCAAATCCAGCCGTTCTCACTAGTAGAGGTTGTCGAAGTTGATTGCAGGTCTGTACCAAGATACCCTTGTGTTGCAGTGTCTGACAGATTGAACATTAGTGAGGCCTTACTAATGATGTATAAAGCTGCAGTATGACCTCTGGACTTCTGTTGCTTACACTTCTTGATATAAATCCCAGTAATCTATTTGCCTTATTACGTACGCTTAGGCATTGCTGTCTTGGTTTAAGGTTGCTGCTCACCATAACCCCCAAGTCCTTTTCGCAATCTGTATGGCTAAGTTCTACATCATTTAACTTATAAGTACTAGGGTTATGGGCACTCCCAAGCTTCAGAACCTTGCATTTACCTACATTGAACTGCATCTGCCACTTTTCTGACCAAGAATAGAGTTTGTTTAAATCCTCCTGAAGTTCCATAACATCTACGTTTGAATCAATTATCCCACCTATCTTTGTGTCATCGGCGAATTTGCTCATATCACTAGTAATTCCCTCATCAAGATCATTGATATTATTATAAACAACAACGGGTCCAAGACTGATCCCTGTGGAACGCCACTTGTTACAGATCCCCACTTGGATTTAACCCCATTTATGGACACTCTCTGCTTCCTGTCAGTGAGCCATGACTCGATCCACGAGAGCACTTTTCCCCAATGCCATGAGCTGCCACTTTCTTTAACAGTCTATGGTGAGGAACCTATCAAAAGCCTTACTAAAATCTAAGTAAATAATATCAAATTCTTTATCGTGGTCAACAGCCTCAAAAGCTTTACTGAAGAAAGTTAATAAATTAGTTAGACAAGACCGGCCTCTTGTGAATCCATGCTGAGTATCATTAATCAAGCTATGCTTATCGAGATGGCTTCTTATAATCTCAGCTATAAATGACTCTAGTAATTTGCCTACAATTGAGGTCAGCTTATTGGGCGGTAATTTGACGGTAACGACTTGTCCCCTGTTTTAAAAATAGGAATTACATTAGCCATCTTCCACATATCAGACACTACACTTGTTTGAAGAGATAAATTAAAAATATTAGTTAATGGTTCACAGAGTTCCATTTTGCATTCCTTAAGAACCCTTGAAAAAACCTCATCAGGACCCGGCGACTTATTTTGCTTCAGTCTATCTGCTTCACAACCATTTCACTAGTGACTGTGATGTTACATAATTTATCTTCTTCTAGCCCACTATAAAAATTAATTACTGGAATAATGTTTGTGTCTTCCTGTGTAAAAACTGAGAGAAAATAATTATTAAAAATCGAGCACATGTTTTATTAGTTACTGGAGAAGCGAAAGCACAAGGAGGGTAGAACCTGAGTTGGTATTAGTGAGAGAGGAAAGAAGACAGGGTAAGATCTAGTAAAGAAGTCGAGGAGCTTATCTTGAATACTGGGCCATCTGTAATTACCAAATCCTGACATTACTCCTTAGCACACATTATCATTGCCATTACTTCCATTCATATTTGTGAAATATACGAAGACGAGTGTAATAATCTACATGTATTTAGGGTGTGATTTTAATACCATGTATGGGAGTTACCTGGAGGAGCTTCCGGAGGTCACAGCCCCTGCGGCCCGTTCCTAGACCAGGCCTCCTATTTGCTGGTCTGATCGATCATGTGTTAACGTCCGCCGCTTTCAGCATAACGTATACCCCACACACTGGCTGATCAGCACTGATTTGAGGAACTTAAAGGGTTCTCTTTTGACGGCAGCCAAGGGTCTGTTGGTGATCCCTCTTATGCATGAATGGTGGTGTTGAAGAGTCGTGGTCCTTTTACACTTATTAAATTCTCTCTCAAGGTACTCACTGCTTCCCTGCTTTTCATCGTAGGAATTTTGCATCACCTGCCAAGCCTGTGTTCATATGTAGTTATTTGTGTGCAGATTGGGACCAATCCTTCCATCTTCTTCCAGGTGTAGATTAAAAAGGTGTAGATTATGGTATATTTTCTTCGCCTATGTTCCAAGGAGTACAGGTGAAAGGCCTTCAGGCACTCCCAGTAATTTAGATGCTCGACTGAGTTTATACGAGCTGTGAAGGTGCTGATAACTGACAGTAGTATAATACTGCACACTTCTTCACACTAGATTCACTCAATAAAGTGGAAGATACAATTTTTAAAGTTTCCTCATCTCCCTCAGCGACATTCCTCTTCGTTCTGATGATAATGTTCTTGTATATGTAGTGGCTTGGGTACTCTGTGACAATGTACTTAAGAGTAACTTACGCTCCCACCTAGTATACTACCCACACTATATGGAGTCACCATCACACAGCATATCACCCCTACATAATCCGTCACCACCACGCACCGTCGTCACCAGCACAAGTCACCACCAAGCAAAGTCACCAACATACGTCATCGTCACCACATGTCACCATGTCATCACACGACGTCACCATCACACAATATCAAGTTTCTACACGACATACATTATCTCTTCCTTTCAAACAAATCCCTCTAGCTAACCTGTCTGAATGAAGGAGGGAGAGGGGGGAGGAGAGAGAGAGAGAGAGAGAGAGAGAGAGAGAGAGAGAGAGAGAGAGAGAGAGAGAGGGAGGGATATCTGTCATTTCAGCAGAGCTTTCAACACAGGAGGGATGTGGGTGGCCTTACTGTTATGTACAAGGCCAATATTGTCAAAGTACCACACTTGGATCCACTTCGAGGACAGTGTGAAACAAGCTTTTATGCCACAAGACGGGCAGAAAGCAGCAACTTCACTCTGGCTGTACCCTTCTCCAGAACATCACTCCATCTGAGGTTATATATACCCAGGATGACTCGAGTATGGAACACATTCGTACAGCATAATGATGTCAACGAGATAAAGTCAGTTGATCAAATGAAAATGCTGGCCCACAGATGGCTCCAACTTCATCCTGTTCCCTACTTGTATGTATCATAACAATAAAAATGCTTTCAAATGAGCTGATGTAGGTAACAGCTCTTAGCTTGTCAATAAAGTTAGGAATCCTTAACCTGTAAATACATATTATTATTATAATCAAAAAGAAGCGCTAAGCCACAAGGGCTATACAGCTGTAAATACATAGCTTGTCAATAAAACTAGGGATCCTTAACCTTGTCAACCCCTGTGTAAAAAAAAAAAAAGAGAGAGACGGGGAGAGAGACGGAGAGAGAGAGAGAGAGAATCCGACTATTTGCATCA